AGTGGACCAAACGTCTTGTTTTTGGATTGAACTTTTCACAAAAAGTGCTATAACTTTGGACAGAATTGAGATATTGAGACAAATAGGAGCTTAAATGAAAGGTTTTGAGGTCCTCTACTAGAATCTACTATTACATTGTAGAATATTATTACAAAAACAGTTAATTTTCGAGACAACAGTACCTTGAATACGCTAAAATCGCACCTGTGCTATATCTCAAAAACTAGAGCTGCTAAAGCCAAACCGAGGCCAAATTCGGATTCAGCGGCCCCAAAAACCATGAAAAAGAGTCTTCTTCTCTTGGGGTGTTTTTTGCTGTTGAGTAGTGTAATTTGACCCATTATTGATTTTGAAGAATGATTTTACACTAGATAGAATTGATTTTTTTGACCCCATCATGAATTTTTGGTCTGACCCTATATGAAATTTTTGGTGTCAAAATCTATGATAACTGGCGGCATACATACACACAGACGAACATTCAGTTTTATTTATATAGATTATGATATGACCAGACAATGTGAATCGCAAGAAAGTTTATTGATATCTATGTAAAATTAATTTTTATCAATATTTAACTACTGTAGCGCACGCATTCACGCCAGAAAAATGACTTTTTGTCAATTTTTTGCGATTTTTATGTTTTTTCCCACTTCTAATGGTCATATCTCGGAAAAACGAATTTTGCCAGAAATATGTCAAATTTTAGCTCCAATTTGGGACTAAAATCAAGGCAATTTTGAGGAAAATCGTTGGATTTCTACAAGGCCAGGGGACCATTTTTTCAGTTTTCGGCCCATAAGACCATGCCAACTCAATTTTTACAACTTAAAATGGATGTCATTTGATAGCTGGCCTCAATACCTTTCCAATGATAATCAAAAGTCTGAAATCGGTTGACTGGGCGGGGCACAGCGGTCATTGGAAGGAAGGCCATTTTTTTAAATTTCAAAGGCCCGCCAAGACCAAGATGGCGGCAAATCAAAAAGTAGCGGAACAAAAAAGTCTTAGTTTTTGATATACTTCAATGCCTGAAAGTTTGAAAAAGATCGGACAAAAACTACGGACACACACATAATGGAAAATATGAGAATTGCTCTAAATTATCTTGCAACGTACATGGCACAAATTATCACTAAATGACTGACGAATTGTCCTCCTACATTCTCCTATATGTATTGAGGTAATGATACCTATCTATGATGTTTACACCTATTTATTGTAAATTTGGATATTGATCTTTGTCATAGCCATCCATTGAGTTGACGAGCTATTATTATTTCAGTTTTAAAATCAATTTTGAATTATTTTCATATTAGCATCAAATGCTCCTTATACGCTTCAAATCACGGCCAATTGTTAAATTCAAAGCACTCTGCAGCCAACATGGACCTGCCCAAACCGACGTAAAACTTCTCGTCAATTTATCCACCGGTATAAATTGAGTGACGACTTTTGCTGTCCTAGAGCCCCAATTAAAATGTAAAACTAAGCGCTTCACATAGCCTTTGTCCCTTTGGAAACATTTACCAAAGGTTATTCTGGACCGTTTTCGATCTAACTACTATCAAGCATTTCCATCTTGGTTGTATTTCTATGTTTTTGTTTTCATGTGCCTACTTTTGTGAATACTGCATAATTTATGAAAACAGCGAGGTTTTTAACGAGGCGAGAACTGAAAGTTGTACTAAATCGGTATAAATTATTATAAATTGATGTAATTGCACTCTCTTCCGTCCAAACACTTATTTAAACCTCTATTATATTCAGCCAGAGCTTGGTGGTGTTGAACAAAATAAAATAACAAATTGGTATCTTCAGTAAAGTTGTAGTACTCAACTTGCTCTACAAATTTGCTAGAGATATCGCTTATCTCTTATCAGTTCCGCGAAATAGGCGAAAAACCGCGAAAACGCGAATATTCGCTTTCTCATTTTTCACGGAACTGATATGAGATAAGTGACTTCTGTCTTCAGCAAAGTTGTATTGCGCGTAACTGATAAGAGATACTTATCTGTCTTCGGCAAAGTTGTAGTACTGAAGGTCTTCTATAACTTTGTGAATATCTCTTATCACGGCCAAGTTTCCATGAAAAAACACATTACGGGCATTATATGCCCGAGGGACAGGCAACGCACATGTGTGTGTGGGAGGTAGTATCTAACACATGCTTACACATATAAGTATATGAAATTTCACTGGTGTGTATCTAAAGGTTTAAGCTATCGAACGGCACCAAATTCCATTTTTTTCTTTGGTTTTTGTTAGTTTTACTTGTATTTCAGGGACAAACATAGTGTTAATCTCTATGACTTGGATTTTTCGTTCACTAACTTTTAGAGTAAGTTTATACCTACTTACATATATAAATAAAATTATTATTTAGTAAATCAAGAGAGTAAGAGCTCTACTTTTATATAAAGAACGTTGTGAAACTAATTGCAAAAACCTTCCACTCCCATATCATAAATAAATATCACACCTGAGATATAGATGGCATCATGTTGTTGATTTGTTGTTGTGCATTTGTTGTCGTCAAACGTGGCCCAGCCCATGAGACATGGCCGAGTGTTGAGCTGGCGATATCAGCGACATTACTTGCCGGTGCCATATTTCCTGTGATTCCCAGTGTACAGTCCATATTGTTTAAAACATGACTACTTGGACTTGTAACAACCGCATTCGTTATTGAGTAAACGCTAGGACCTATAACCGATGTTGTTGTTGCTCCTGATCCGGTGGTGCGCGGATAATCCAGCTCTGCCAAGATTCGGTTGTCCTGTTTTACAATTACATGTTGTTTTTCTTCATATTATTATGGGTTGAAATTGCAATTCACTTGCAAAATATGATTGTATATTTAAAAATAGTTCATATTTATTTTTATAACATAAACGTGAAACTGAGATCTTAGCATTGAAAATCTACGAAATGCAAAACTAAAAAATCTATCTTCATTCGTCAAAAAATAAAATGTAACTTATCTATTCTTCTGAAAGTTGATTAAATTTCGATTAGTATTGTGTTGATCCTGTCGGATTTCAGATATATTTAAAAAAAAAATGAAGCATATCTCTTATTCTTTGTATATTCAATGATACAACCAATTAGCAGACGTTGTGTTTTCAGCGAACTTGAAAGGATCGTCCTACGATTGAAAGTTTACTGTTTTCATTGAATATTTATGTTTATCTGCAAGCTAGGGGAATATCACGCTCCTGAATCTTGTGAGATATTTGAGATATTTGAAATAAACATTAGTTGTATGACATATTTTCAAATATTTCGAATAAATAAATCAGATTTTTGTGGATTTTGGAGATATTTGAGATTTTTTGCATTAAATACGAATAAATACATTTAAATATCATTCATAATCACAAAAATCCACAATATTCCGCCGTATTCATAAATATCCACCATATTTCATACGACAGATTCTTAGAGATAAATTGGATTTTTTTGAAATATTTGAAATAATTTAAGCGTGATATTCCCCTAGTCTGCAAGTGCAAAGCGGGTTTTTATGATAACCGCCCATTTGCTTAAATTCATCAAAATTAAGAAATTGTTTCAAAACTTCAAAATCTCTTTTTTACACTTATTTTGTAATTATAGCAACATTGAATGTGATATCTATAGGTGAGATTGAGAGTAGTGTATGTTTCACTGACTTTGTTATGAAAGAGAAGAGTAAGTTTCTTTCGACTCAAAAATGGTTAAAGGCGAGTATGCTCATTTTTGGCGGGTCCCCGCGGTTTTCCATGGTTTCCGCGGAACTGATAAGACATAACAACTTGGTGTCTTCGGCAAAGTTGTAACACTCGAGGTCTTCTATAACATTGCTGAAATCAAGTATCTCTTATCTCTTATCAGTTCCGCGAAAAGCGCGAAAAATGATTAAAAAAAAAAGTTCTATATAAAATTTGCTTTTTTATGTGCGCGATTTGCGCGCAACTGATAAGAGATAAGAGATAGATGTCTTGAGCAATGTTATAGAAGACCTCGAGTACTACAACTTTGCCGAAGACTCCATGTTGTTAACTCCTATCAATTGCGCGAAAACCGTGAAGACCGCAGAGGCTAGACGGTACTATAACGTACTCTACTTTAACGCCAACAGAATCATCAGAAAACATACTCGCCTTTTCAAAAATATAAATCGAAGAAAGAACATACTCCACTCTCAATCTCACCCATAGATATAGCCATCCATTGAGTTAGTGATTGATGTTGTGACCTATTATTTGTATGTAATGGAAACTAATTAAGTTTAATCAATGTTCAGGCGTAGTTCAATTTAAATTGTTTGAAACTCTTGGTCTCGACATGAGTTGTAAATTCAAAACTACCAATTGGGACCTGTTAAGATAAGACGTAAAACTTCTCTTGAATTTATCACTTCTTTGATAAATTGAATGATGACTTTTGCTGTCACTCGGGCCGAAACTACACTGTTTAAAGCTTCAACTGGCCTAGGCCAGGAAGCTTTCATTTCGTACGTTTAATTTAGGCCTCCTACAAGGGCCTCCTACAAACATTTTCTTATTTGGTCAAAAACAGTATTTTTTTTAACTAGTCGAGTACCAATATTTGTGTAAAATCAAACTATCCACTGTATACCCTAAATTGTACAAACAAAAATAGATCAGGGTTTTCATGACTCTTGGAGTCATTTTCCCGCAAAACTTAATATTCAGCCAGTTTTTGGCGATGTTATTAAAATTAATAAATAAATAAAAAATAAATCTTTATATTAAGTTTCTTTTGACCCGCGTCCGCTATTAGTGTAAATTTGACGTTTTTTTTTAAAGTAGCTGTGAAGTAGTTTCTTATGATTTTATTGTGCGATTTCACCGAAACTTTTGGAGGGTGGAAATACTGATGAATTTTTATCAAATCTGAATTCCTATCGAAATCTTCTAAAATCCTATTGTTCAGATTTTGGATTCTATCGGATTCCATGGGAGCTGGACGCAAACTGAACGGAATATAGACATAGACCTTTTGATTATAGCAAGAAGTAGGAATGATTAGTAGGGTGGATCGATTTTTAAAATCGCAACAAAAAAAAACCCTGGGTGCGCGTTCGATTTGGCACCTCAAAAGAAGAAACTTTTGTTCTGGGACATATGCCGAAAAGTCTATTCCCACAATCCCCACTCAATTTTTATCTGGATCATTTTTTGATGATTTTTTCAGACTATTTCTTGAAATATCTCGAAAAATACCCCCTTTTCTTGCATTCAAACTATCATATTTGGATTTATCGCGAAAAATTACATAAAAATAAGTCCATTTGAAACCATTTCAACGCGATTTTGTCGCCTTCGTAGGTCAAAAATCGTCCAAGTATCCATTTTTTGGCTACTTTTCCGCAAAAACTGACCCCTGGACCCTCAAAAAACCTCAAATGCATGGCCAAAATTGACTTTATTTAGTCTAATTTTTGACGAGAAATTCAAATCTGATCAATAGATGCACATAAAATAGTGATTTGGTGGCTTGAGAGGCTCAAATATACTCGAAAATGGCCAAAAAGTCGCCATTTTACGCTATATATAGCCAAACAAGTCCGTTTTTTTTCGAATTTGAAACATCTGAAGAGCTATTTCCACTTAATTTTTGACGTAAAATTGATTTCCGCCTTCATTTGTATAGATTTATGTGATTTTTGTGTCGTAAACTGCGTCTATTTTAAGCAAAATGAGGAAATTACGCCCATGAGCTTCGGTTTAACAGTGATATTACCTCACTGAGCAAACAATTTCTGCCTTTACTGCCTTTAAACTTCTAGTGTGATCCCTCACAAACATTTTGAGTGCCCATATGACCAGATCAAGTGATGTGTTCATATATTTCTGGGCTCATATTCGGTTGGTTCAATTTCAAATCTTGAAAAATCGACTTTTGTTCAAAAAAATTCCAAGTATCCACATTTCATGGTTGGTGTCTTGGTGGAAAGTTTTTTTTTGTCGCAGTTTACGACACAAAAATCACATAAATCTATACAAATGAAGGCGGAAATCAATTCTACGTCAAAAATCAAGTAGAAATAGCTTTTCAGATGTTTCAAATTCGAAAAAAAAAATGGACTTGTTTGGCTATAACAAGCGTAAAATGGCGACTTTTTGGCCATTTTCGAGTATATTTGAGCCTCTCAAGCCACCAAATCACTATTTTATGTGCATCTATTGATAAGATTTGAATTCCTCGTCAAAAATTAGACTAAATAAAGTCAATTTTGGCCATGCATTTGAGGTTTTTTGAGGGTCCAGAGGTCAGTTTTTGCGGAAAAGTAGCCAAAAAATGGATACTTGGACGATTTTTGACCTACGAAGGCGACAAAATCGCGTTGAAATGGTTTCAAATGGACTTATTTCTATGTAATTTTTCGCGATAAATCCAAATATGATAGTTTGAATGCAAGAAAAGGGGGTATTTTTCGAGATATTTCAACAAATTGTCTGAAAAAGTCATCAAAAAATGATCCAGATAAAAATTGAGTGGGGATTGTGGGAATAGACTTTTCGGCATATGTCCCAGAACAAAAGTTTCTTCTTTTGAGGTGCCAAATCGAACGCGCACCCAGGGTTTTTTTTTGTTGCGATTTTAAAAATCGATCCACCCTAATGATAAGTTTTTAATTTTTCATAGAACTTCGCCTCTATGCTTTTCGAAAGAAATCTTAACAGCGGACGCGAGTTAAGCGATAATTTATGTTGTTTATTTTCAGTTACTTTCGCTAAATGTGCAACTTGTATCAATAATTTGGAAGAATATGACCATTACCGTTTGAAGCACAGTAATTTTATAAGAATTGTATACACTTTGCTGTGGGATACGTTTTCGTGATATAAAATCACCACACAGCAGAGCAATAACGTATACAGAATCATCATGATGGCCAATAGTTACACATGTCGATTAGTTAAGAAACAAATTTTTTTTAAATATATCTGCCATCCTGATTTTATTCTCATCGACACAATATTTTATATGAAACGAGGAAAAAATGAAAAATGATTTAGTGTATGGATACACTTCGCAAAAATCCAAATGTATGGTTTTTGCCATCATTAATTCAAATATGAGATAAAAATTACACAAACGATAACATTACGTGGATGTCACAAAGCAATGATGGTAATAAGTGAGTGAAAGGTGAGAGATAGATCGTTTCACTGCTGTGGCCAAGAATGTGAAAATGACAGATACAACCACAATTATTTTATGCGTTTTCACTGTTTTTTTTTACATTCTATTAATAATCAATCATTATACCATATTCAACCATGTTGACTGCAAATTTTTCATATATGATTTTTTTTTTCATATATAAAAACGATATATATGTATATTCTAACCGAAAATATGGCGTAAAGAAAAGAAGTTCTTTCAACTTTATAGCAATGGAGACATAATGTTTTCCCTTAATTGGAAATAATAGGGAATAAATGGAAAAGCATGTTTTCATGACAAAAGAGGTTTCAACGATAAGGCATTTCAGTCAAACGAGCGCAAATTTTGTCTGCGTTCATGAACTTTGAACGCTGATTTCAGGAGATTTGTCACTACAAACTTCGTAATCATAACAATTTCGGATATAAAGTGTTGTTATTTTGATTTTTTGTAGTTTTTCCGGTCGTAATCTCTGAAATGTTCCCACAAAATCGATATCCCAATTCTTTATTCGTTGTTGGCACGAGAAATAGCCATAAAGGTTCCATTGATATATCATATATGATACAAGGGAAGAGATTTACAGTTGTTATTTAATACGTGCCTGCTCAATCTTTGCCATTATCCGGTCTATTTCACTCGCAACACCTACAGTTCCACTCATGATACCATGGCCTAATTTACTATTGTCTGAATTTGTCGGTAATGATGAAAGAGTTTTTTGATGATCGAGATGATGATTTGGCAGGTCATGCTAAATAAAAGATATTAAAATAGATAAATTGCATTATTTTTTCATGTGTCGCTTGAAATCAAAAAGATGTATGATGACATGATTTCAACTAGAATAACAAAAATTCAACAACAGTAAACACAGTGAATCTAACAATATTACGATTTGACACTAAAATCCGTTCACTTAAACCATTTGGACCAAATTTTTTTTTACCGAAGTACTATAATAAATGCATCTGAAGTTTAAATATTAAAGAACCGTGTGCCGTTTTGTATAAGATTTAAGCCATATGGCGTATATCAATGGGACCTATACCGATGGATAGGGGTAGCTAGTGTAACAATAATATATGGGTTTCCCGATCCTAAGTTGTGAGCGATTTTTTTTATAGTAACTGTAAAGTTAGTACTGGATTTGGGGTAATTTTCACTAAACATGCATTTTTTATGAATAAAGAGCCATTTTAGAGGGAAACTTTGTAAAGAATCGATTGGCACTTTGGTTGGGGCTGCCTTCCAAGTCTAGGATGAAATAGAGGTAAATAATTGAAGAAAAAAAACCAAAACAACCATAAAATAGGGGTGAAATTGAATTCCATACTGACGACAACATTCGGCCTGCCTCTAGTGGTCATACAACACACGTTGGGCGGTCAATATATACACGCTAGCATAGGATTTATACGGTTTGCGCGAAGGGCTACTTAATTATTGGGCATGCATACGCTTATGTGATTGAAATCTTCAACTATAACCACAAGCGTCGATCCGATCACTCCAAAGACTGTGAATCGCTTTCCAAAGATTGACCCCTATAATATTGAAACTCCGATTTTTTAGCCTTATCTTCAAAGAACGATTGAATTTAACTACCCCAAATCCAGTACTAACTTCAAACCCCAATAAAACCTCCCGCTCACAACTTAGGGCCAGGAAACCCATATATTATTGTTATACTAGCTACCCCTATCCATTGGTATAGGTCTCATTGATATACGCCATATGGCCCAAAATGGAACACAGTTCTTTAGTACTTGTACACTTTTTTTAGTCCGCAAAAGTAACATTTTAACGGATTTTAGCAGGTTTCGGAAGAAGAGCTGTCAATTTCTCCCATTCACGATACTAGCGCCACTGAGGTATATAGCAAATCAATGTAAAGTGGAGTTTTTTTTCTAACTAAAATACGCGGCATTTTTGAAATTTCGTACTATTTCCGCACCTTGGATTTTAGTGCCAAATGTCATACTGCGGTTCTAAAGTTTAAAACCAACATGTTTGGTGTGTAAGGTAGAAGAATATCTACTTAAAATTTCATTAAAAGAGACACGAACTCCACAATAGGCTTGGACTATTATTTCAACCGAATTTTTACTGGAAGAAATATACTATATCAATACTCGATAATAGATATTTTGAAGGAATTGACACAAGTCAATAAACCCAAATTGCAAAAGCGAAAAACTGCTTATTCTGGCATGAATTGAAATAATAATGTATTGTTGATTATGTTGAAAGTCGTTTGTCGAATACAGTTTGTGACAAATTATCTTTTGTACTTCCTCTGTAACAATCCCAAAACCATCTAGATCTACATAAGAACAATAATTGTGGCTGTGATGCAGCGGTGTGAAATCAAATGGCGCTGTGATGCAGCGGTGACATCGAAAATCTGAAAATAATTGAAGAGACAAACATCCTTATACCAGAATAAGTAGTTTTTTGTTTTTCCAAATTTCGATTCAACAATGGATGAACATATTAATATGACGTCGGCGTAAATTTGCACATCTTTTATTCAGAAATGGCGAAATTTGCTAATGTAGCAAGTTTTGAATGTACATTTGTACATGACGTTTAAAACAATCATTTCGTGGTTTATATTACATTCTTATTTGGAAATGATCTTTTTTAAAGATGTTTAACAATCGAACTATGAAATTTGGCATAAAATTTAAAAGGCCGCTTGAATCGCTGCCATCGCCGCAAACAAATCCGTTATGAATCTGACTTTTTTCAATAAAAAAAATCTTCGAATAAAAAAAAGGTAAAATAAAATTGTAAATTCAATTTCTCAACACACAGTTTATAAAAAATTATTATTTGCATCAGTAAACTTAGAAAAACAACAATTATTCCATTGCAAACGATTCCTATTTGAAGTTTGAAACTTCGAAACTAACAGCGACATCTAACTAAAATCCGTTGCAACAATCCATTCGCCATATTGAAAAGTGACAAGTGTGTTGTTGTTTCAAATTTCAAGTGGAAATCGTTTGCAGTGAAATAATTGTAGTTTTTCTAAGTTTTATTGATGCAAATAAACTGTGTGTTGAGAAATTGAATTTACAACTTTATTCTACCTTTTCTTTATTATAAAATATTTTTGGATTATTTTGTATGAAAAAAGTCAGATTCATAACGGTTTTGTTTGAAGCGCTGAAAGCACTGAGAACTTGTTTTTTTTTGGTTCAATATCAACCGACTGAAACGATACCTAGCGGATATGCTAGCCCTTTAAATTTTATGCCAAAATTGTCCATTTTGATATTAATGTTTCATGTTTTCCATATTCATCTTTTCCCATGCGTTGAGTCCATATTTGGTATTTTGAATAAAATTTTACAATGGGATCTTTCCAACTCAACGCTTCAAATTGTATATCTATTATTTACAATTCCATAAATAATTTTATATTGATCAATTCAAAAATATATTTTTCTACTCGAGCACAGTGTGTATTAAACTCAATACAGTACGTACAGACATATCTTTTTTTGTTGTTATTATTCATTTAGTTATTGATTATTTTGGTAATTATAAAAACCTACGACTCTGCGGTTGTTCTTATAGTTCAATATAATAATAATATATAACACGCTAGAAATTCATCATCTAGTCTATAGATAGCTTTCAAAATATAAAGAACAGATTACACCCGAGCGCCATCATCCACATGTATTATTTTTACATTGAAAGGCGCTACAAGATCTTTACCATTCAAGACGCCTTATGGAAAATGGCACAAATTTCTGATGGTACGGTTAATTTTTTCTTTGAAAAAAAAAATTGCCGGCGTTTGGCTACTTTTTAGTTTTTTTCCTAAAACACCAATGGACAATTTGATTGTCTTAAAACATAATAGGCGCCATTTGGAAGTTACCGGGGGTATATAAAGAAGAATGATTTAACTTTGTTGATAACATTTCTGTTTCGATATTTGGTGTTTTCCAACTGTTATCATTTTTATTATTATTGAAAAGGTCTTGCTTATTATTATTATTGAAAAGGTGTAGCTACAGAAAAAATTATTTTGCAGAATTGCAACCACTTTCGTTAGTGTATGTGATTAATATATCTCAAAGAGAGTGAGATCAAAGAAATATTCAATATTATGATTGAATATATTTAGATCAATCACCTTATGATGTTGTGAAGAATGAGTGTGTGCTGGTGCCCATGTGATTGTTGCTGTATTTGCTCCGCTATTGCCGATTTGTGGTTTCTGATGTCGATTAACTGGATCTGATGAATATTTTGATTTAAGTGCTGCTGACAATTCCAATTGCAGTTCTTCACATCGAACAGTCTCCAAAGCAACCTGTTGGAATTGTTTTTTTATAATATAATGACAATAGTGCACAAAAATTCACTCTATTAAAAATTGAATTTTCTTTCTCCTTTTCTATCGTCTGAAATCCCAATGAGAAAATTTGCCAATGTTTTTATATGGAGCATGTATTGTATATGCACATACTATCTTTGAGTGACACCTTGATGTAGAACGCTGAACTATGAAACTTATATATAAGTACAGTATGAATTTGAGTGGGGAGTAACGCAGAGGTTACTCGTCGCGTAGGTCATTGACCTTTTGCAAGTACAGTATACTTATATATCAACTATCAATGAAAGCAACCAATAACACCTACATTTAGACATATTTGAATTGCAAAATACTTCCTACTACAAGATGGCATTAAACCAAACATCATCCCAGTCATTTTTCTTTTTGGAAATCCCAATTCGGTGTCAACCAACTACAACTTTTTACCGTATTCTAATAACACATTTAGTTTTTGAGATATGAACTAATTTGCGATTTTCAACTCAACCGTACAATCGGCAAATGAATTATTTAAATTACTCAAAATGTTCATATATTCAGAAAATCCTAATATTCATATCGAATATACCTTTTTTTCTAGCTCTCGTGCGCGAGATTTCATAGTTTCCATACTCTCTAAGGGTCGTCCTCCACTCAAGCCTAACGCAGCATTGTGTAGTTGTTCAACAGCTTCCTAAACAGAAAACGTAAATTAAATCATGAAAAAGTACAAGAAATTGACCTGTTCTAGAGGTGTCAACGGAAACGGACAAAAATTCGGACATTGGTGTCCGTCCGTCCGAAAACCGAAATATTTTAACCGAATGTCCGAATTTCGGACGGACGGACGGACAAGGGATTTTGTCCGAACTTTTTGAAATTTCTCGGACGTCCGAATATTTTTTTAAATTTTTTCAATAAAAAAAATCAAAAGAAAATTGAATAAGAATACGCAGCGTATTCTTTTTCAGCGACATTTTTCGGTTGGAAAACTCTCGGAAAAGCACTACTGTGAGAAATTGGGAAAAATTTCAAACCAGAGAACTTTTTTCCGAGAGTTTTCCAACCAAAAAATGCAAAAATGTCGGTGAAGAAGAATACGCTGTGGACCAGAGGTCGAAAGCGGGCCGAAAAATTGGCCCGAGGCCCGCCCGAATCACTTCGAAATATGCCCGAGACCCGCCCGCTGCCCCCGCTCGAAATTGAGAATTTGTCCCGACTACCGGAAAAACCCGAGCACGGGTTCTCGGGCTATACGGAATTTTCGGAACTCGGGCGCCCGTCGGGCTTCGGATCATTTCGGGTCGGGCGGGCTCGGAAATTTCGGGATATATATACAATTCGTGCAAATCTCGCCAACAATTTAGGACAGATCTTCAACGATTAGACGAATTCATATAAGCAACATAGGAGAAACTCGAAAGAAAATTGGAAAACCACGTACCAAAAATACTTTCAACAACAAAACTGACATTCGTTGTTTTCGATATTACAACTGTGAAAACGGTTTCAAACTGAAACTCAATGAGTGCAGTTGGTCCTTAGAAATTTATTCAATTCATAAAAAACCATCAATATGTTGTCTATTTGAAAATTTCGTTGATGAAAATTTGAATTGATTTTCTCCCCATATGAAGAATTTTCGACATTAACTTTTGACCGGCGAAGTTTTCGGTTTTGCGTATTTTAGCGATGGCATTGGTTTCAAATTGATTTCATCTAATCAAAACTAAAAAAACTGTTAAACTGTCCCCAGACTTTAATGTTTGCCCTTGGAAAGAAAGCAATTTTTTTGTCTTGTGTGCCAGTGGCATATTTGCACAATTTTATTTGAGAGAATCGAAACCTTTTTATTTATTTAAAATTCAAATAATAATTATTATTTCACCACACAACACAACGACGACTATGTTTGACACTGCATTGAATACACTCATCAATGTAGTTCCCGTCAAAATGTGTGGCGTTGTTGGTTTGACGTTTAATGATCGACAATATCGCAGTGAATTTGAACCGCCTCGTAAAAAAAAAATTCAGTAAAAGTGGTACATGAATTTTTTTGCATGAAAACAAATTCACGTGTCGTTTATTCAGACAATACTTTTGTGGAGCACTTTTACTGTAAAAAAATTTCAGGGGCTTTTCATTTTACAAAAGAATTGCGTTTCATTATTCCGCTTGCCCATTCATATATAGATGACCCGAAAAATACATTGCTAAGTACGTCTTTTTTTCGAAAATGCGAAATAACTCCGAAAATCACTTCCAAAATTATGTGACGTTACTGACAACTTTAAACCTTAATAACTCCGTGATCACAAGTGATAGACAAAACTTTAAAACTTTTAATTATTAGTCTTGGGAAGCTCTATCATATGCACTGAAGTAACTATGGGTTTTATTTATTTTTTTGAAGAGATATGAGCAAAAATATGCGTACGAACGGGACGTTACTGACGATGACCGTGACCATATATGTAAGGGTGGGGGAAATACCTATGGTCCGTTATGCGAAGGTGAAAAAATTTCTGACAGCAGAATTGTAAAATTTGCATAATGCCCCAAAAAAGTTTTGGTTTTCCGAGGCAACATTTTTGAGTGATTTTTTACCCAACAGGTCAAAAATTTCTAAAAAGCAGTTGAATATGAATACCCGCTAATCCCCCACTGTATTTTCTAGATATGATGCCTTTTGACTACCACTTGTTTCAGATGATTCTAAATCACCTAAGTGGAGAACGGTTCGCTTTTTTTCAATAACAAGAAAAATGGATCGATCCTTAATAGTGTCAAAAGTACCGTTATTTTGTTGAGATGGATAGCCATTACCCTGATGGAAAAATATTGTACCATTTTTTCAGAATGAACATTCAAATTTTTGAAGAAAAAAAAGCGAACATTATTAATTCACAGACCCAATAAGGAATTTGAAAGCAATATATTTTCCTGCCAAAACTAAGATGACACAGCCAGCACTTGGCGCTGAATGAACAAATGAAGATTGCTGTGAAATTTAAAAGATATAAGATATAATATTCCACAGCAAAATCACTATGCAATATTGTGAAATCATATGACAATCCAAATATTGGCGATATTAATGTGACTAGACATTTCTTTGATTTCATTTTCGCTCCATCACATCGGTACGCAACGAGCAAAGCCAAATATTTAATATAAAATACTGAAAAGTTTGCATAGAAACATTGATAACTGTGATTTTTTACATATTTTTTTTTTAATTATAGCTACATTGACTGTGATATAGCCATCTATTGAGTTGGTGGCTGCTTTGACCTATTATTTGTATGTGATGGAAACACAGGTACTGCATATAAGCGTCTGACAGCTCACTTCTAGCGCTGCGAAACAAATGTCAAAAGTTGTGACTCAGATCGTTCAATGTTTACTGCAAACTATTGCATCTTTCTTATATTTGTTAATAAAGTATACAAAAAGAATAAAAATGTCACGAATGTGCAAAATTGATATTTGTGAGAGCGTAGCAGGTGATAAACATCAATTTTATAAGTAAAAAAAATTGTTTTTAATTACAGAACATTATTGATGAGTTCATTCAGCCGCTTTCATGAGTGCGTCTAACGACGTAAACGAATTGAAATAAACTTCACTGAATGAGCTCATCGCAAATTCGTATTTTACTTTGTTTTGTTAGTGTTATGCATAGGTTGCGGATGGAAACAAATTAAGTTTTGTCAAGTTTATCTACTGTATACCCTATAAGATGAAAATCCTCTAGACGAGGTTAAAATGGAGTGGCGCTCCTGTGCGTGGATTCACCACTCAAAAAGACTGATATCATTTTAAATGACGCCATGATGCTGTTTTATCACTGGAAACGAAGTTCAAAAATGGTTTTCGCATTCATTATTGTGAAAATTTACGCACAATAAGGAAAAATATCTTGCGTCACGACTTTTAAATTTAGTTTTCTTGTCAAGCTTTTAGAATTTTGCCTTGTAAAAGTCCATTTCAACCTCGTCTAGACTACTTTTGTAGGGCAAATATTTTCGGGAAAAATACATTTTCACCAGAAGTATGTCTATTTTAAGGTCTTATTATTGGGAAATTGCAATTTTTTGGGTAACACATTTGCATCCAAATTTCACAAACTCTAAAGATTGCAAATTTCCACTACCATTGAAAAAGTCCCATTGTCCTCTAATTGCACATTCAAAATGCGGTAAAATGTGATTAAATTTCATGTTATGTTGAAATGATTGTGGATTCTCATAATTTCATTGGAAAATATTATTTTACAACAACCAAAGTTCTAGGAAATGCATTTTTATTCCAATTTCATACATGCAAAAATGTTTGCTTATGACCAAAATGACAACGAACTGGGTATTTAGGTGTTGGTAGACATCCATTATTTTTACGAAAAATAGCAGTTTTCTAAGACTAAAACGACGTTAGAGGTATATTTCACGAACAAAAATATCATTTTCAGTGAAAAAGAGCAAGTTGAAAAATTCACTTCAATCCGACCTATTTTTCGACCACGAAATTGCCTCAGATCGCATTCTTACCACTTTTAGTCAGTTGCTCGTCGAAAATTGAGCGGATATGGCCTCTTGTGAGCCTTTTTCAGCCAGTCGATGCGTATTTTTGACAGCAATTTCATCGTAGAATGCGACTCTTCGTACAAATTCCGTTCATTGGTGAATCGCCGATGCCCAGAACTTCGAAATACGAATTTTCCCGGATATATGGCATATGCCATTTTGTTGGTATGGTAGCCTGCTACAAACGCTCAGTTTTTGGTAAAAATTGTCGGACTCATTTTTGAGAAATCACCTTTGGAGTGAAATTTAAGGGGGTCGATTTTTCATAAAAATCGACTTTTTTCTTTTATATCACATAAACATTAGCATGTGTGTATGAAACTTTCTGAAGGTCTTCTCAAATGATTACGAGCCGACTTTGCCCGATGGGCGTCTGAGTTGATCTAGTGTGCGAAATAAATACTTGAAAAAATCGTATACATGCAGGTTAGAGAAGCCAAAGCCAGCTCTCCTGTAATGAAAATGTCAATCCGAGGATGGGTTTCGATGTGCCCCGACACAAGCTACAACTTAGGCATATGCATACCGGGATCTGTGGGGGGTCGAAAAAAGTATAGACAGACGGACATACAAAGACACATCCAAATCGGTACTTTCATAGAAAACCATGGTCAAACTGCCAATGCCCATAACTTTTTCGTTTTTGGACCAATCGGAGCACTTGGACCGGCGTTAGAAAGTTGGCGAGGTGGAGCTTCTCTTGGATATCTCAGACCACCCTCTGGGTACCCTCTTCATGGGATATGGGTATAGATTTGAAAATTTAATGAAATTTTGCAACCAAAATATTTTTGTCTAGACCACACTTTAGGCATGGGGGATATGGTGTTTCCGACTATTGGGGCCAAGACCTTTCGAACGGTACCTAACACGCCGGGTCTCAAATAGTGTCCTGGGAAAATAGCATATTTACTGTATTATATAGTCGTGACGCAAAAACTGGCATTTTTGACATTTGGCTTGAAATGCACAGTCTATGGAGCGTCACTTGTCGGACTACCGTCCTCCGTGATATTGTACAAACACGAAAAGATCAGGTTTTTCATGACTATTGCAATCATTTTCCTGCAAAACTGAATATTCAGCCAGTTCTTGGCGGTGTAAATGAATGAATGTATTTTCAAGTCGCACGGCATTTAAAAATTTCCCAAGTATCAAGAATCCGTCATCAAGGGTAAACATTGGAAATAGTAGAAATACTAGATACTTGATATCGCCTGAGATATCTCCGCGAATTTCTATGAAAAACGTGCTATGTCTTACCTGGTGGGCACGTTCTGCATCTGCCCGCCTCTTTTCTGCTTCACGTAGTTGTAGATTTAGTGAATCTAACATTTTACTAGTTTTTGTTGATGATCCCTCGTATGACATCCTACAATAGAACAAAATGTATAAAATGTAAATAAATCGAGTATAGAATTTTTGGGCGTGATCATCTTTGGGCATTCGGTTTTTAATCCAGCTGATTTAACAACAGAAATAAGTTTCTCGAAAATCTCCGAACCTGAATTTTCTTCAATTTTTGACGAAGAATCGAGTGACAGAGTCTGATCATCAGACATGTAGACTGAAATTACTACTCGATTCTTCGTCAAAAATTGAAGAAAATTCAGGTTCGGAGATTTTCGAGAAACTCATTTCTGTTGTTAAATCAGCTGCATGTATGTGTTGCTGAGGAAAAAAATGGATTAGCCGAAACCGCTCGTTTATAGTTGATCATTTGTGAGTTTCTGGTAAGAGAAATGGGATAGTTGTCTTTTGTTGTCAGATATTATTGAGATAGAGTTATACACTCCTGAAATACAAATACCTAATGCCATCTATTGATTTTTTTCCGAAACCATTTTGGGTTTTTTCTTGAATAGATTGCTTCGTTCAATATGAAAGATGATGACCTGAAGTTCAGAAGCTAACAGCAGCTTTACTTCTAGCACGAACAGGATCAATAGAAAGAAGTGATTGATACATGGTTCAATGAACATTTTTCATGCCCGCTTCACACAACAGCGCAGCACATCGTTAGTGTTGAGAGTTCAATAAGAACAGTATGTATACAGAATCGCAGTTTTTTTGTTCTAGTTCCACACTAACGACGTTGTGCTTCTTTCTTTCAACACTCTTCGTGATGTGTTGGCGTACACACAGTGAAGCGAGCATGCACATGTGTACGCTCATCGCAACGCGTGAAAAATGTCGGATATTTTTATGACATATCCCGTCTGAATATTAATATTTAAAAGTATTCTATAGACCTATCTCTTAACTTCTTGTGCATCGACCTGAAATTGTATGCTATTTCGATTTAAAACGATTTTTTAGAAATGATACCTTGATATCGCATTATTTCAAGATAATTCGATTTTCTGTGCTCTCCGATATTGGTCAATTCTAATCACTCTAATAAAACTTGTTTCATTGTTTTTATTTCAATGTTATTAATAATGTGTACGCGGTTAAGTTTAATCACCTTGCCATAGTAAAAAGTTGCTGCCGAAAATGTTAGTATAGAGACAAACGAAACTGTTTCTCACACGAGCTGAAACATAACTATATGTTTGTTAACGCTACCAAAAGCGTCCTTAGACAAAGCAATAGGTAATTCAACTCGACACTCCCACTCATAAGTCATCTCAGAATCTACCCTAACTGTGAACTATGCGAAGGGGCGCCTTCATTTCAACTGAACGAGATGGACTGATTCCACGTTCGAATCATGCTTTTTGAACACTGTCAACTCATTCACTATACAATCTCACATATCCATTGACTCATAGACAGTCTGAGAATCACGCTGATTGTTTTTAAAACTAGATTAGACCTTTTTTGAATCCCCGATTCTATTTAAAATCCAAGAAGAGAATGTTTTAGTAGGATAAGTTTTTGGAAATGCGTGACAGATTTCAAATGAAACCCACTTCAATCACATATGGCCAAAATACAATTTTCCGTTACCTGTTTAACTATAAACTCACTATCAGTATATAAAAAGGTTTTAGTCATCTTCAAATGGTTGAGTACAATCAACAAACGAATTGGTTTATCATTTTTGAACAGTGTCTATCGGATATGTGATTTTTGTATTTTTATTCATTGATAAAAATACCGGGGTATTTAGCAACAAAATTATGGATTTTCTACTGAAATTGTTTGTGTTTTTGTCGATTGTAGAGTTTCAATGAGTAAAAATTATTGAACTTCATAGTATGTAGCTTTGAAATCTTTCCTGACAGAGTCAACATGTGATAGAAAAGGCTTCGACAATTCGCAATTTATTCAAAACATATTTCTTCACTTAGAGCTTTTCCGAAGCAAAGTAAATAGACTTGTCTCACTCACTCGCTTGCTTGAAAGCTTTTTTGTTAGCTTCACATTTGCCTCGACTATGGATATGTTTTCTGTTTCATTGAATACTGATTCTGTGAATGGATGGCAATAAATACGTCAAGCAAGTGCGCAAGGACCAAAGTTTTCACTCACTCACAGAAACTTTCCACACATACAATAACACCACAGAATTATGCGTACAAGTTGAATAATCAACATATTATTAAATGAGAAAATTGCAAAAATAATTTTCATATATGCATCGCGGTTTTAAATCTGATTCGAAAATATTACAAATGTGTATATTTCTTCACTTTGTTAGCGAAGAGAATGGTTAAATTTGAATTTGATTGCGAAGTTTTTTTCGCTCTTTCAGAATGCATACTGTTGTTGTTTTTTGCACGTATCGCTGCATTGAACGGGCGCAGATAAGATGTATCCCAATGCTGAAAAATATTGAGCCGTCTATGTATGACTTCACTTTCGATTAAGGAAATAACGAATATGAGAATATCAATTTTCCATATCTTTATCGATGCACAATCGAATTCTGATCAAAATATCATGAATTAAATATTTACAAATTATCATTTGAAATACTTTTCTTGAACACACAACTTGAACTCTCGTATTACCTCAATAACACATTTTTTTCGCAATATATTGCACAAAGAAGTGTTTTTTTTATGTTGGGGATTGGGGATAACAAATTATTATTTCACGTGCACTATTTTATGTAGTTTAACATTTTTTAGATTCTTTTTCATAATTTTTCGAACGAAAAAAAAAGCGGAAACTTTAGCAAAAATTGAAAACGGGTCGTCCGCCCAATGGAAAATTGGGTCAATATTTTCCCAGCCGTTTGTCAATAATTACATTCTTCGACTGCGTTGATGGTGGTAATCGGAACTGTACCATCGGTTGCGTTTTACACACGAAAATCGCAAAGAAAGAGATAGATGGAGTCTTACCACCGATTGTATGCTCCCCATTACATCCATATATCGCTCTCTTTTCGATGCGGCTACGCATGAAATGATAATTGTGGGAACTTAACGCGCAGGTCTCTATTTGATTTAAATTTTTGTAGTTAGAATAAATAATATTTTGTTGTATGATAATCACTTGATGCAATAAATTTTAAATGCAATAATTTTAATTGACGAATTTATATTTTACTTCATAAATAATTATACAATCGAAATATCTAAAAGAACAGAACGAAATTAAAACGAAATATATGCTTTAGTTATTACATGATAGATGGAGCCACTTTTTGAAGTCATATGCTTGCATGAACTGTCGCCAACTTCATTACACTTGACGATTTAGATGACATATACAACTGACAAACATAATACTTGTTTTAATAACATTAACAATGGACCAAGAAGAACCGTAAGTCTCACTTCTGCCTGTTTTTCATAATTTCAAATCGAAAATAAACTAATTGCCACAATAATTTCTGTTTTCAGGAACCGACGTGATGAAATTCTCATCAATTATCTAATCAAGAACCCTTGCTTGTGGGACAAAAGCGATCTCGACTTTAGAAACAGAGGTCTCAAAGAATATAAGTGGAAAGAAGTGGCAACGAAAATGAATATGCCAGGTAAATATACATGAATTTTGGAATTAATCTAAAAAAAGAACATGCAAAATCTCATTATGATCGTTTTTGCATTATCATTTCACAGCACATTTGGCAGTCCGCCGATACAAAACGTTATGTGAAAGGTTTCGCAGGGAGATGATTAAACAATCGTCTATTCCTGACTATAAGTCAAACTGGGTGCTGTTTGAGAAATTTGCCACTTTGAAGGATATACAGAGTTCGGAAGACCGCAAACCTAAAATTAAAACTGAAATTGATTTGATGGATATGGCCAATTATTGTAATCGTAACAATACACATGATGGATTTATTGACGATTTTGAGGAGGGAACTAATAATGATCAGTCGATGAATGACGCAACTCAGAGAATCCATGTCGATGTAGAACCGAATTTCATTGGGAGTACCACTGATACTATCGCAAGTTTCTGCACATTTCTTGAAGCAAGCCTAAAACAAATGAACGACGATCAAAGTGACGCACTTATTGAAGATATTTCAATGTTACTTTTTCGAAAGAAGCGCGAGTTCAAATCGTCTTCATCAAGTTGAAATAAGAAATTCTCGAACGTTTATTCTTTCTATTTTCGATTATATTAATAAAATGTAATGAGGACAAATAAATGATTTTAACGCTATAAACGGTTTTCTGATCATTTGTTTAACAATTTGAAATGTTTATGAAAAAAATGAGACAAAATTATACTCATATACTATACTGCTATTAATCTCAACTGAAAGCATACATTGTATACACAAAGTTGTTTTTATCTTACCATTTTGACTGTATCAATAAAATCGTTGATTCGGATAGGAAACCCAAATCACAATAGGCAGGTCCACTTCTTAATTACTTTTTGACCAACTAACTTTAATAAGTACAAGTAAAAAATTGTTTTAAAGAAATTTATTTTTCGGGTTATTGGGATAATCTTTATTGCTGGAAAGTGTCATTAAGGATATTTCGAAAAGAATACTGACTCAACGGTGATCTGAATTGTTCTATTGCAAATAAATTTTCAAAAAAAAGTTCTGCCGAGGTATATATTATCTAAAAACGATTCTTTTGGCACAAAAAAACGAGAAAAAACAGCAAAACAGACATTAACTGCAACAAAGAGTCTGTCGATATAAGAATTAATCTATTTCTAATGCACTGAATGATTGATATGGTGGAGCAAACGATTTTTTCTTTGATTCCTTCTTGTTTGAGCTCTTTATCTTTTTGTATTTTGCTGAATCTATTAGCCAATCCTTATAAATTGTTTCCATTCTTTTTCGCTGATCTTCATAAAGTTCAACACAAGAGCCGCAAGTTCCTTCATATTCCTGTAGAAATATAACGATAAATTTTTTATAAGTAGATATAATTAGATCTATTGGTAAGACGCAAGAGAATGAATGTCATTTTCTGAATAATTTTTTTTGAAAAAATCTCTAAATTAATAAATATGGTGCAGGCTCTCGAGATTTTCGACTAACAAGAGATAGCATGTTGGTAGAATTTGTATCTGTAAAACTCTTTCTAAAACTTTTTAGATAAATAACTCTTAGCGCAAAAACGCATAAAATAATAAAATTAGCAATTTCATTTATTTTTGTGCAACTCATAACGTGCAGCTAAGGTGTAGGTGTAAAACCACGCCGAGTTTTGTGCGCTTGACCACTTTCGGCATCGCAAAAATATACGATGTGAAGTGATTTTGTAACATAAAAATAAAAGTTATAAACTTACAATTGGAAGTAGATCTTTGTCAATGATTGACTGTGGCCCTTTCGTAGTGAAATGTAGAAGTGACATCAATTCAGATTTGATCAATGGTTTCACCAATGACATGACCTGGTTGACAAAAGATGCTGCGTGGCATATATAAATCTTTTTCAGACGGGCTGGATGTGCTTCTTGAATGTATGACATAAATGATCTTAAAGGTCCAAGTTGAACACGTGAAACATGTCCCAAGCGTACACCTTTCATATCAAATATAACAATATAACCTTCTGCCAGTAAATCCTCACTCAAACGTATGTCATTAAACATGCAAAATCCTTTAATGGCATCGGAAAATAAAATTTTGGAGGGATCCGTGTCGATTAATCGATAAATCAAGATTTGGTAGCCTTCTTTTGTTGTCTTTGGCAACGAAATCATTTGTCTGAAACAATGCATAGATGCAAATAATATATTTGAATTATATAAAAAAAATAAAATTGGAAATTAAATGACAAATTAGTATATGATTTTATAAACTTACGCTACGTTTAGAATCATTTGAATATTCTTCAACGAAACGTCACGATTGTCAAATAGATCTGATGCAGATGCACGAATTGCGACATATTGGGATAATGCGCTCTTTGTCGCTTCAAGATCCCAATAACATGCATGCAGGAATAGAATAGCGTGATTCTTAGTAAAAGGCGGAAATTTGGGTTGCTCCTGAATCCTACAAAAAATTTAGAATATCAGCAAAAAATTAACTTTGAATTTTGATTATTATTACTGTAACATTTTTTTTTCTCAAAGCAAATCAACTATTGAACTTTTATTGAATTGCAACTGAATAGTTCTCACCATTTATATATATCTTCTACCGTTTGAACTCGTTCGGTTGGAACATCGACTGGCTGTGGGTTGTTCATAAAAGGATGCGATAAGTTGTCCATCATGGCTGTCAAAAAAAAGTTATGAAAATCACACATATCAAATACTTTGTATACGTTGCATATATAATGTGTTTGGTTAGGCCAAATTAGTCTCTATGAGTTTTCCTCCAGTTGTTTGAAATATCTCACGCTTTCCCACATAGTAAATAATATAGTCTGCTAATTTTGGTAATTTTTCGAATACATATATGAAAGTAGTGAAAATGACATTAATTTTCGATGTCAAAAATCCCGATCTATTTTTAAACTGAAAAACACTGAAAAGTACTGAAAATATTTTTCAGGTGTTTTCAGTTAAAGGTGTCAACGGACAAGCACCTTGTCCGTCCGTCCGTCCGTCCAGGGCTCTTGAAATTTTTTTTGTCCGTCCGTCCGTCCGTTCAGAGCCGCTAGAAATTTTTTTGTTCGTCCGTCCGTCCGATCAACGCTGAATGGACGGACGGACAGACAAGAAAATTTCTAGCGGTTCTGAACGGACGGGCGGACGGACAATGAAATTTCTGAGGGTCCTGAACGGACGGACGGACGGACGTACAACTAAATTTGGAGGGCTCTGAACGGACGGACAAAAAATAACGTTTTGCTGAAGCAGAATATCGACTGAATATGTTTTAAGGTGAAAAATGGCTAGATGTACATAAACTCTCGTTTGTTACTGTATCAATTCAAACTGAGCCCAATTAATAAAATAAACGGGAATTTACCGATGGACAGTCATCATTTTATCTATTTGCATTTTGCCCTTGGAAACCATTGCCCTCAATGTTGCATATATAGCTTATAAATAGAATTTTATAATATCAATGATGCTGATTAATATTTTACATGGGTGGGGGAACATCAGGACTTTCCAGTCATAGATATTATGGCATATAGGGCTGCCTGTTTTTCCGCCACAAAAGGAAGGACTTTCTTCCTCTTCAGCAATACTCATTTCCGAAAGACGCACATTATTTATAACAAACAATACAAATGACATTACAGCAGCGTATTAACGCCATCTACTCAAGTTAAGCTATTGAAATATTGAAACAATAGACTTGTGAATCATGAGCAATCATAGATTCTGACACCAAAAATTTCAGACAGGGTCAAACCAAAAATTCATGATGGGGTCAAAAAAATCAATTGTTTCGGAACAAAAGTGAGGAGCAGAAAAAAAAGGTCCTCACTTTTGAAAATCGATTCTATCTTGTGTAAAATCATTCTTCACAATTCAATAATGGGTCAAATAAATCCATTCTATCTAGTGTAAACAATAATTTCGGAACAAAAGTTAGGAGCAAAAAAAAAGGTTCTCACTTTTGAAAACAAAGTCGGAAAATGTCAATGGGTCCAAAAAAATTCGTTGCGGGTCAAATTTCGTCAGCAGGGGGTCAGGATCAACGAGATCAGACTATGTCAGAATCTATGTGAGCAATAGCAAAGTTCAAAACCGTGGTGTCATCAATACTACCCGACCTATTACCCGAAGTACCAGATATAGGCGAGATAGTTCTCTTTGCCGATGATACTGGACTAATAGTTAAACACAAAAATACCAGAACTGCTGTTGAAATATGTAGCGAACCGTGAATTGAAAAAGATTGAGAATTGGTTTAATGCCAACAAACTAAAAACAAATGTGTTGAAAAGCAAATGGATGTTAATTGGCAAAGAAAATGGAAATGGAAATGAATTAAATGAGCTCGAATTAAAAATTGAAAATCAAACCATAGAAAGAGTGAAAGAAATTAAATATTTAGGTTTCGAAATTGATGAAAAATTAGACTTCAATGCACAAATCAATTCGATAACAAAAAAACTAGCCAGCAAAATTAATGTATTATACAGAATCAGCGACAAAATTACTTTCGATTTAAGGAAAATTGTATACAACTCGATTATTCAACCGCACTATGACTACTGCTCAACGCTCTATATTAATTGTACAAAAGAACAAATTGAATTAATGCAAAAACTACAAAATCGTGCAATGCGATATATTTTGAAATGTGATTACCGAACACCTTCTGATTTTATGTTGAAAAGTTTAAATTGGATGAGCGTAGCCCAAAGAATAAATTATAATGTGATGTTACTTGTTTATAAAATGAAAAATGATCTTGTCCCCCAATATTTTTGCAACAAAATTAGATATGCGAATGAATTCCACAATAGAAACACAAGAAGCAGAAATGAATTTAGGCTTCCCGATATAAGAACTGAGAACGCAAAAAAATGTATATTGTACAACGGAGTAAAATTATTTAACGATTTGCCAAATGAACTAAAGAATATAGATAGTATTAACATATTTAAAAAGAGACTTGCCTTGCATATAAAAGAATAGGATTTAGGGATTTTATTAAATGTACAAGCTAATAACAAATAAAATAAATAAATAAATAAAATACTAAATATAATACTACGAAATACAACTGTTAGTTCCGAATCGGTAGATGCATGTTGCTATGTGAATTTGACAGCGATGATATTGAGCGCAAACACCATCTGGATAATCTAAGGCTAATGACAATACAATCACGTAAATTCTTTGTTCTGTCAAACGTCATACGGAAGTGTAAGATCTGTATGTCTGTACATATCGGATTCGCATTCGATTATGCAGAGGGCGCCACCGTCACTCGATTCTAGAACTAGTACATAGAGTAATATAGACTGCAAGTCAGACTGGAGTAGATGGCGTTATTTGGCCGCTTGACATAAAACACTTATTGAATACGTTACTCGCATTCGACAATATTTTATTACCGGCACAACTAGGGGGTAGACACGAAATAATACTAGAAGAAAACTAGCAAAAATTGAGCATACTAGAAGAATATTTGTGAAAAAAATTGAGTGATGCCTCTTCCATAAGAATAGCATTGTCAGTGGTTTTTATATGGACAAATTCTTCCATACTGCCAATGCGTTGCTTATGGAGTTCAAATGTTTTGTTTACAAAAAGTACCGATAATCCTTCCATAAGAAATGCATTGGCAATGCTATACTTATGGAAGAAGCAATGGTACGATACTAGAAATACTAGCAGAATATTTGCATTTCTGCTTGTATACTAGAAAAACTAGAAGAAACTAAACGCCTATTTGAACCGATTTGAACAAACTAGCTATACTAGAAATTGGTGTCTAAACCCTAGCGGCACAACCATACATTGTGATTTTCAAAGAAATATCTTGTGTTCCAAAAAGAGTTTTCATATCGGGCAACACTTTTTGTTCTTCGAAGTTTATAATATACTAGTCGCTTCGCAACTCTTCAAAATTGAATGTTATTCTGCCTGCAGTATTTGGGGAGGATGAGGTAAACTCAGTTTACTAAACTGGGATACTTTTTTCGTTCGAAATTGAAGCTGAACCGAAATTTTTCAGCCTTTGAAAGCATTTACTCTCGAAGGCCTTCAAAACTGCATTTAAACTTTTTTAAATCGAACAGCTGGGGAATTTCGAATTTTGCGCCGTTTTTACCGAGGGCCATAGGCCTTCCATAGGCCGGTCAATTTTGATGTCCAAAACTGTCAATAGTATTCATTTTTATTGTACTTTTAACATTGATATATGACATTTGAGATTAAACGTTATAGAAAAAAAGAAGACCTAAAATTTATAGGCGTACAGACAATTCTGTCCATGACTGTAGATTTCTTTCATTTTTTTGAGAAAACAAGATATTAACTAATAAGGCATTATATTAATATATATTTTATTTTCCAAATTGCCATTGTCGAAAACACAGAACAACATTAGAATATACATACTAATACATTGGACATTGAAAGTACTGAAAACCACTGAATTCAATTTTTCAATAGTAATTCGCCCCTTGTATTTTATCTTGGATCAAGACAGTATAATGGTTACATTTAAAATAAAAAGTAGAAAAAAAAACTAATTTTTAGAGTTTCTGAGTTTTTTCGTAAGAGTACGTTCCTCACATATACAAAAAGTCCCAATGGTGTACAAAATGTTCAATCAGTGTACAAAAAGTACTTTTCGTGTACAAAATCTCAAAATCGTGTACAAATATCAAGGTCCCAGTTTTTTTTGAAAAAAAAAATGATACAATATTTTTCATTTGGCTATCGGAAGCGACATCCTTTTCCTATATTTAGGGCGATTCACAGATTCTCGAAAAAATGACGGTACTTTTGACGCTGTGAAAGGATCAATCCATTTTTTGAGTTTTTGAAAAAAGCGAACCGTTCTCCACTTAGGTGACTTTGAATCGTCTGAAGCAAGTGGAAGTCTGAAAGCGCAATGTCTGGAGAACACAGCGGGAGCATAGCCGGCATTCATAATCAACTGATTCTTAGAAATTTGCGTTTCGATGTGTAAAAAGTCACTGAAATTGTTTTCCCTAAAAACCAATTTTTTGTGACAATGAGCAAATTTTTCGATTCCTCTGTCCGAAATTGGTATGAAACGATCAGTTATTATTGGGAACGATCAAATCTAACATTTCGACATGATTTTAAATCCACACAACGGACCATATATTCCCCAGCTTCACAAATATGGAATAACGTCCATTTTCTAAGCAGCGATTGTGGCGCCCACTTTAATGATAAGAGGCAACGATCAAAACATGGTTTGATATGCTTGAGGTTATCGACAAGGGTCCATTCTTCATAATCAGTGCCAACCCGATAAAAGAAAAACCTTTTTACATTTTTTTCGTGTGAAAAAAACAGCTCGCGCAAAAGTCGATTTACAGACTCGTCGATCTACCATAGTGAAATTTTTTTAATTATGGGACATACTGAAAAAGATAGTATTTTGACAGTACTTTAACGTAAAGGTAGCCACAATATTTTCCGATGCGATATAGTAGTAGTTACGTCATTTCGCGAAAATGTGATATTATCGTAGCGATTTAATACAGCTGGCGCCATCTGGAATTTCTGTGTACAGTGTACCGAACAAAAAACACGCACACAGACACGAATAATATTTCATCATAATTTGTGTTGAATGCTGTCGCTGTAATTGTCATTAGTTCATGCGAAATAAGCTTGGTGGCGCTGTAAACAAATGATTGCTGACAGTTCAACAGCTTATACATTATAAGTGTATACGTATATTCTGAGTTTGAAATCAACACATACAAACATACGCCTTGCTTTCCGCATCGCTGCTTGCTTGTCTTTGCATCGATACATTTTTTTTTCAATTGTATCCCGACGCAAACATTTTCAAAAATGAATCGTCCAAAATAAATCTTATTTGAAAAAAAACATGTGGTATTACACTTTGAATAATATTTTGCAAATATTTGTTTTTTAAACAAACGCGCCGAACATTTTCACATAAGTGAAACAATTCTTGCTCTCCGATTATGCTTCGATACTTCTTTCCAACACGCACTGAATGGCGCACTGAAGGGATATACAAACAAACACCGCATTGACGATACTGTTGTTGAGATGAATTGTTTCACTTGTGTGACAATATTCGGCGCGTTTGTTTTAATAAACAGATGACTGCAACAATGCAACATGGAAAAATATTATTCAAAGTGAATCACGGCATATTTCATGTCAATATCGTTTGCACCGGTGGTTCAATTGAAATGAAAATGTGTATCGAGGTTTCATTTTGACATAATATTCGACTGACACAGCTGACACTTCATATGCGCAACCGGCTCGTGTTTATGTGTATGCAATACAAACCAATGGAAATACAAGCAAACGACTTGCTATGCGGAAAGCAAAGCGAGCGTTTGTATGTGTTGGTTTGTAATTTGATACACACATATAGTTGTGTCGCTATTCTGAATATTCTGTGTTCAGGCGCCTATGTGTACGGTTTGCTTGTTGTGTGTTCGTTATGAACATTGTTTGGTTGGCAGAACTGTGCTTGCTTTTCAGCATTATTTTCAAATGTCGGTCCGGCAAGGAATAAACCTACTGTATGTACATATATGTCCGACGATACATGAAAATTTACGGTATGTTATATAACACTAATACATGATTTGTAAATTTTTGGCACAGGTCCAAATCAGCATTGAAATCATTATTGAGGTAATTCTATCTGTTTTGCGAGAATTCTGCAGAACACAACTCATATCAATTCAATCTCAAATCGGTATTTTCGAAACTTTCACATAGAGAATGACATTTGTTAGGCAAAATCGTTCTATTGGTGAAACATCAAACTACTAGGGTACACTAATTCTCTTCTCTATGTGTTGTTCGAATTTTTTTCCTTTAGTATTGGATGTAGTAAACAGTACATAAAACTTTACATGTTTTCAGGTCATAGCGAACAAACCTCTTTTTTCGAGTAACTATACAATGGCATACGTACACTCCTAAATTAAATGGAGAATCTGTCATCTTGACATGTTGTAAAATAGCGGTTTACCCGATGTAGAGGGGAATTTAACCTCAAACTAGATGAATCTCTATATAAATATATGGCGGAGAGAGCACCATATATTTATATAGGAATAAATCCAGTTTGAGGTTAAATTCCCCTCTACATCGGGTAAACCGCTATTTTACAACATGTCAAGATGACAGATTCTCCATTTAATTTAGGAGTGTAGTTCTCCATTTTTTCCTTCGTTGAACGGACGGACGGACGAAAAATTACATTTTGTCCGTATCCGTCAAAAAAATTTCATTGATTTTGACGTGAAAATAGGTTTTAGCTGTTTCAAATGAGAAGTTGCTTACAAATCAGTTACTAAAATTTTTTTTAGTATTTTTTAGGTAAAAAATCTATGAAAAACGAAAAAAATTTCCGTCCGTCCGTTCAGAGTCGCCAGAAATTTTGTTGTCCGTCCGTCCGTCAAGACCCTCAGAAATTTTCTTGTCCGTCCGTCCTTTCAGAGCCGGGCAAAAAAGACGGACAGTCCGTCCGTTTGACACCTTTATTACCAGGAACATGAAAATGATTCACATGTAAACGAGCGGTTTCGGCTAATCCCATTTTTATTCTCAACGACACAATTAAAAGTTTTCTTTGACGTATGTTTTCAACATCGATTTGAATTGACTTAAATTTTCTTGGATTTTTAATTCTATCGGAAGTGTGTTGAATAATTTAATTCCCTTATAAAATAATGAGTTCTGGCTACAAGCCTTAATTACATCTGTTAGACCAATTTCATTTGTGTTTCTTAGTGTTCTGTTTGTAGTTTCATGCTTTAAAAAAAATTCAGTTAGGTGATTTAGTAGTAGTGAACAGAGCCACCGATAGTTCGCGATACTGACGAAAGCACCTCCAATGAAAGTAGACCCCCCTATATACATGTATATAAAAATTTCAATAACACCAAATCGACTGTATGGACTGCGATTTTTGAAAGTATGGAACATATTTCTCGGTGGCTTCTAGAAAGTTTTAAAAGATGACGGCGTCAACTCTTGTAGAGGACAAAGAAATATTATTCACAATGTGATGAAGAGATTCCAAAGGTGAAATATTCGAGGGCCACAACTCTTTTCTCAAATATTGAATTGTTTTTTTTTTATCAACATAGTGAATATATCTACATCATCCACTACTCTAAACACTTTTATATACATTTCAGCAAAATATGCAATATTCAATCGATTGCATAACACGAGTATACATAATCCAATAGTTAAAGAAAGTCATTTGCCAGTTAATACTATCACAAAATCAAATCAAACCAAGCCTTCCTGCATGATCATCGCTGTATAATTCCAGTTTCTTGTATTTTCAGAAATCTTGTTGCATCATGTGTGGTGTCCACCAATTTATCTAGCAACCTTCTGATGTTAAGCTCGTACGTAATTAAAACCAACCGAGTCCACAAATTTATCTACCAACCTTCGGATTATAAAGTTCGTGTCTAATTAAAAGCAAACGAGACCACAGTATGGGAAAATCGTAATATTACGATCATTGACACACAGCGTAATGTATTGAAATCAAGTTTTATTATTTACAATAATCAAATACTTTGATTTTATTATTATTGTTCATTTTAATTCATTGATTTTCAATTGTTTTGCAAACACATGAACTAATTTAAATTTTTTGAATTGTTCGATTGAACCTTTTCAACTATAAATATCGGAAGAAATAAAGTCGAAGTAATTTCCAAAATGAAGCGTTTCTTTCCAAAAGAAAGGGAAATATAATGTATAAAAATCATTTATGCAGCTTAAATACGCAAGTATGAATAAAATAAATCAATTAGCACCGTTCGTATACCCACGTAATTAAAATTTATCATGATAAATAATATATTCATTTATTAAAAACCTGTCTATTAGAATCGCTATATCACCATTGGTATTTCTGTATTCAACCTTTGATCGAAATAAACTTATAACAATCGTGTTATGAGCTCATTGCTGACTTACATTCACTTTTCTTCTATCTTCACCGGCGATAAAAATATTGCATGAAACCAACAACAGTGAAATATGAAACGTACTTCACGCTTGTTTATTCGCAACTGAACACGCGATAAAAAGATGGTTTGGTTTTCATTTCCACTTCCACTATAAAATAAACATACCGAAGAAATTCAGTTTTTGCATTGCCGAATTGCCAATTGTGGAGTTGGTTAACGTTACACATAGATGAATAAAATCACATAGAAAAACTGGGTTGAATTTAATATGAAAAATCATTTGATTAAATATTGATATGAAAATAAAATTTGGAGACTTGTGGAATTGTTGAACAGAATTGCTTATTGAGTCGCTAAAAGTATTTAAAATTATATAATATTTATATTTGTGATGAGCACACTATGACCATTTACTAACTATAATCCATCTTTTCCATTCTATGGAAACACTAATCAAGTAGATTTATGTTCGAGTATTTTCTAAATTCAAATAAAACATTTCAATTTATTCTTGAATAAATCAACAACAAAATCTTCTTATCAAATTGAGTAATACATATACATGTACCATAAACTTGTCTCTTCCGACCGGTTTTTAGTCAACACGTTTCTTCCGAGGTTTCCACAATAGTCAAGATAGTAGTGAATTGACATCGTTCTAAGAGTAAAGTTCTTTTCAATTTCTTCTCCATGTAAGAATATACCAACGATTTTTGGAAATATTCAAACGAATTGAGTAGAAAATTTTGATTGTGTTGTAAAATTATCGTTTAAAAATAAAATTGTTCCATTTGTTTCAAGTTCATTTCTGCAATGTTGTACAAAAAAATTCCATTCATATTGTTGATATCTTGCATTGACCTTCATATCTAAAACTGGAAACTTCTATCGAAATAATATAGAAGCTACCAAAAAGTTATTACACCACAACACCATTATTAACAACGTATTTCTAATATTTTTTAAACTGACAGTGCCTTCTTGCGTGTGGTTAATTGAAGTCCCGTTTTGCTCAGTGATTTGATTTTTTTTTCACTTTCCTCTTATGCTACATAGCTAATTTAAAATGGACCTTGGATATGATCTTGAAGAGGCTTTACGTCGACGATCAAATAACATTTCAAGGAAGAGCATAGAGGCGTTGCGTAATGCTATTGCAAAATCGAATTTGGTACCAAAGTCCATCACAGATAAACAGGTAAGTGTAAAGTCAGGTTCATAGCACGTACTAAATTTATAAGGCCCTGGTTTCGAGCGAAGAATGGAGGATTCTATTCAAAGAAAGATGTATGAAGATGGATGATTTTTATTTTATTTATATATATATTTTCTTCATTTTTTTTGCATTTTATAGCTCGCATTGTTTATTGACGCATCTGATGGACAAATCGACGTTGCCAAGAAAACTATTGAAACCTATTATGATGCAAGACATAATGCACCGGAACATTTTCTCGACCGTGATCCGTTGAGCGAAACGATAGAACAGTGTCTCAACAATCAACATTACTTTATTTTGCCACCAAAAGATGGATGTCCAATAATATTTCACCAGCTCGCGAATTCAAAACCATCGAATTACTATTTCGATAACGCAATAAAAACGTTTTTTATGTCGATCGATATATGTCTGCACAAATATGGACCACAGCGTGGAATAATTTTCTTATTCGATATGCGACATGTCAGGATTGGCCATTTGACACGTGTCAGAGTTGGCACAATCCGAAAATTTTTCCGTTATGTCCAAGAAGGTAGGAAATGCTCACTTTTCATGAGTCACGAATTCTAATTGTTGGTATATGTTGTATGGGTGCTTCAGAATTCCATGCTAGTCTCTTGACGACAGATCTCTCTGCTTTCAAGAAGAATAAAAAAGTATATCGCCACTTCCCCTTTTTCGTTGGCGCTACAAAATCTGGTACACTTTGGGACAAAATGCCCAAAATCACAAGCTTTAGCTGAACGCGCAATAAAGTATCATTGAAATATCTTAATCCTCCAATGCATACAATTACCAAAAAGTGGGCAGCATTTTAACATCTGCAAACCGCACGTCAGATCACATTGCTTCAAAGAGCATTTTTCATTTTTCAAGATGTCCTCTATAATTTTGTCTTTTGTTTATAAACAAGAATGTGCGCAAAATGTGTCCAACATTTTCGACACTTCTGAACAGTGGATTTGGTTGTTCTCTGATTTATGTCTATCGCGTTTCCTGACTAAACTATCGCGTTTCCTGACTATTAGGAATCCACGGTTATGAATATTTTTTTTCATTTTTATTTGTGGCTCAAAATCAACGAAGAACCAGTACTTTCAACCCTGGGAAAAATTAATGCACTAGTCGATATAGTAATTCAATTAACTCTCCATGTTAATAGAATAATATTTTATCAAGATATCAACAATAACGATATTAGAATTGTAATATATCTAAAAACGAATAACTCTATCTTTTTGCTTTTAAAAATTCTGGTTGATTCTGAGATCGCCATTCATCCCTTTCCGATGGTTAAGATCAGAAGTGTGGAATGACTTCAAATGAGACTTTTTTTTGATTTTCACTCAATCAACACTATTCTGGCTGCCGAAATTTATCCTGGCTAAGCTGTGTTGCTGAGAATAAAAATGGAAATTGGAAAAATACGAAAAACCACATTAAAAAAATTTCCTGGGAGTTTCTATTGAAGCGACGATTTATGTTACGTTTTCAAGAAATAAATTTACTGTTGTGTTTCAGTTCAAACACTTCTATATTCCCATTTTTATTCTCAACAAATAACTAAACATCGATTAGTCGGGACACCCTGTATGATATATGAGAATTGTATTCAAATGGTGTACTAGTACCAGATAAAGTATCGCTTGATTAATGCTTATATTTTAACGTTAAAATGTTTTTTTTTCGAAGGTATGCCAGCAAAATTGTGTGAAATACATGTCTTGAATGTTGTATCGTTCTTTGACAAAATTCTATCGCTCATTCGTCCTTTCATGCGAGCTGAAATATTCAAAATGGTACGAAGAAAAATTGTCACCTCAATCATATAAATAGTAATTTTTTTATTTTCTCAACTTAAGTTGCACACATATTCATCCAATTACAACATGGACGACTTTTATAAAAATGTAATCAGTAACCGGAGCTTACCAAAAGAATTTGGAGGTGACTTAGCATCAGCGGAGGAGTTGCACGACCAATTCAGGAAAGAATTTATTGCATTGCGCGAATATTTTTTAGGGGAAGTGGAACAGCGCAAGGAGTTCTCCGGAGAAAGTGGCGTAAAACCAGTCGAAGAATCCGAGATCGTGAATACTTTCAGAAAATTGGACATTGATTGAGGGAGAAACAATTCTTGTTTTATTTGGGTGTGAATAAAATCAAACTTTTAGCTTCAAAATACAAAGCGTTTTATGCAAAAAGAATCAGAAATGGCGGAAGGGTTGTATCGGAGGAATGTTGTAAAAGTTTGTAGGTCCTGTCGGACGGAACGTTGTGTCCGGGATGCTACTTCTTCGCAAAATTTCCTGCATCTTTTCGATTTTCAGTTTCCGTGCGTGCATCAGTTTGCGTGCGGCCATAAACTGTTCAAGATATTCATCGATTGTTATTTCTTTACTCTGGAACTTTGCTGCAATATCATCAGACTTCTCTTCGCTTTCAGCCGCTGCTGCTTGCAATCTTCAGAATTACATTTTATATTATCAAAATACACGTTAATTAAAATAAATTTGTAATTTCAATATAAAAACTACTTACAAAGCCAATGCCGTTTCGGGGGACTTATCACATTTCTTCGACTCTAGAAGTAACAAAAAATTATCTTTACTCACATTACTTGATTTATAAAATTGGTCTTTATTTACTTAATGTTTCCAGTTTTTCCTGAATACTAGCGCAAATAGACTTTCCTTGATCCGAAAGCTCACTTAATCTGCTCTTCCTTTCAACAATTTCTGGTTCTTTATTGACGTTTTCTTCTGCAATTGTTCGATTTTGGGTGATGATAACTTGTTTTTCTTGATCCAAAATGTTGACCTATAAGTTGATCACAAAGAAATATTGCAATGAAAGGCTGACATTTAATTCAGATCTATAGATGTACATGCCACATTATTTATGCGTGATTCCAATTTATCGTCATCGTTTAGAAGTTCTTTCAACTCTTCTGAAGTCAAATAAGCTACATCAGATTTTGCTTGACCGAAAAATTGTTGATACATCTTGATATAGCACTTAACAACCAAGATATTTATTATGATGATTTCATGGAAAACAATTAATAGAATTTGTAACACTTTTAACATATCTCATCTAGTTTGACAGATTATGATTGGTCTACATTATGAAAAATCGTTACAGAGACGAGTTTAGTACTTCACTTCAATACAATTGGAAATGTAATGACAAAAAACGGATTAACTGTAGTATTTCGTTTGATTTATTTCATTTTTACACCATATTTTCGAATTTATATGGCAATTTTGATTTAATTTTATGTCGATTTCGTTCCCAATTCCGAAAATTGAATTAAATATTCTTCTAATGCTTTATACGATGAATTCGCCATCATGTCAAAGATTCGCCATCTTCCCGGCGATGTGAATGAAATTTACGGTATAAAGTTATGTGTCATGTCTGTTGGTGCGGTCGCTGGGCTGGAAGATTTTTTACACTTTTTTTTCTGTTGATTGATTAAATTCTAATTGATACAAAATATTTTTTATAAACTCAGAGTAAGTTTTATTTTAGCTACTGTGGAAATAATAACAAATAAGTTGCAATATATTTACATAAATGGAAGTATGTAATATGTAGAAATGTATATCAATTCATGAAATAATATGACCATTAGAAGTTTTCGACGAATTTTTAAGTGGATTTGCTGCGTTCATTATGCGAACACCAGATAAAAATAAAAGGAATACAATAAACAAAGATATGCCAATATTTGTCACCATTTTTTTAAATCAATTTTCGGTTCTATGCCTTCATAAAGCCTACATATATATGCGTATGTTTGTTTTCATTGATCATCATACACATAGTATAAATAAACATTTTCTCAGTTTCCGATTATTTCTGAAAATATGTATTTCTTGATGGCAATGTCGAAACCGTGTAGGCGTTACAGATACATGTGTAATAAAAATAGTTCTGAACTACAAAGATACATGCAAAAATCCGTAACATGAAAATTTAAAGGTTTATGTTTTAATTTTGAAACATAAATAAACATTTATTAAAAATTATTTTCTTTCGAAATTAATAGTAATAATTCACAATTACAATAACATTTTTGATTTGCAGGAGCTCCTACGGTAGAAAACCATAGTTCAATAATTGGGAAATGATCGCCCACTGATGTGCATGCAACATAGTTTTTCATGTGATTCCAATGAACAAATGAGGAGAGTTGAAAACCATATTGAAATTATAAATTCAATCGTTCAACAAGTGCGAAAAAGTATTGTGCCCAATTGAAATGAAACTAAATGGAAAAACGGAAATTGCAAATAGAGTGTCAGAATAATACTAATTGATTTGTGCCAAATAAATATACGAAAAGTGTTCCAGAGCAGTGTGAGTTCAAGAAAAGTGGTAACAAGTGAATGAAAGGTACACGATACAAGGCAAACAATATAATATAAATAAAAAACAAATAGATTTTGATTTGCTGAATTGACAGAAACTACCAAGAAAAAATGCAAGCTATCAAGTGTGTCGTAGTTGGCGATGGGTAAGCATTAAATAAATTTTTCTACAGAAATTGATGTGACAGATAACAACATTTCTTTTGTTCTGATAAAATAATTTTGAATAAAAAACATGATATGAAAGAACGAAAACACGAAATTATCATAAATTGATAAAAAACATTCGATTGAAGAATCAGTTTACCAAAGCACAAACTACAGTGAGTTTATGTACGGCACACCGGTCCGATTTAGAAAAACAAACCTTTCACGGCTACTCATTTCCACATCGTTGGCCGTAGTCTGGTTATTATTTTCCCTAACGTCATAAATTCATCGCTGAAAAGAATAGATTTTCACTTTCAAAATTTTCCTTACGGAAACAACTTACTGCTGCACTTTTATGAACATATTTTAACACTATTAAACCCGTCAAAATTACCTTGACTGAATGGAAAATTGAATAAATATTCTGCAAATCAGTGCAACCATATGTCTCATCCAATACAAATGTACAACGTTATGAAGCACTCGAATTTCAAGCAATTGGTGTATAGACACTATACTGGATAGCGAAATAAATAATAATAATAATGACTTCAGCATAAGAAGACAATGTTAAATGGAACAAATTATTACTTTCCGCTGTACACCGCAATTAACATATATTACATTGAGTGTTGGTATTAATTTTTGTTGAACCGTTTAACTGCGGTCGCGGTCTTTTTGATCTCGAATGATCTTAAATCGGTATTTTGTGAGCCATTTTTCAAAAATGTTTTCATCGTTAAAATATTAGTGATGAAAATTTTCTTCGAAAATCACATTTCAACCAAATAAAACCATTTACGTATTATGAACCAATTTTACCACCACTCACATGGTGTTGTTGCGAACATATTTTCATAGAATATAACCATTTATTATTTTATTTATTTCATTTTTAATTTCAGGGCCGTCGGAAAAACATGTTTACTCATTAGTTATACAACGAATGCATTTCCTGGCGAATATATCCCAACCGTTTTTGATAACTATTCTGCAAATGTCATGGTTGATGGGAAGCCAATCAATTTAGGTATGCTATTTACATTTGGTTTTTATATTGAAATATTTATGAACGTTCAAATTTAATTTCTCCTTATTAAAATCGATCAAATGAAAACTTAAATAGCCATTTTGAATATAATCTCACGATCTATTAGGAATGCTGGAATAATTGAATTTTTTAATGTGTCGAATGAAAAATGGATATATGAAGGATATACTTGAATTCAAATGTGCGCAATTAAACATTATGAAAACAACTAATAAATGAATTGATTTTTCTATAGTGTCAGTGAATTTTCAAAATTAGCAAACGTCAAAACATAAAGTATATAAGACTGATAAAACGAGCTGAATTTATTTATTGTGAACTTTTGAAATTTGCTATATTTTTCTTAACGGTATCATTCTGCGTATCATGAAGAAATTCCAGCAATCATTTTTCGCATATGAAACGACCATTATTACCAACAAAAAATATTATTATATTTCATGTTTAACGTAAATTTATTCAAACAAACATTGAAAAATTTTCCACTTAATTTTCAGGTCTTTGGGATACTGCAGGTAAGTAAATCATTTCTTGCCAACCAATAATTATTTTTTTCCGAATTTATACTATATATAACTTATATGGTATATTCGTATTATAGGTCAAGAGGACTACGATCGTTTGCGCCCGTTATCCTATCCACAAACTGATGTCTTTCTCATATGCTTTTCACTTGTCAATCCAGCTTCGTTCGAGAACGTGCGCGCAAAGGTGAATAAAAATAGAATGCCAAACTGTGTATTCCAACAGTTATATTTTATTGCAAAACGGGTTTTCATATTTTTCCTTGATTAGCTTTATAATTTCTAGTAATGTAAAAACAAATGAATTTCGTGAACAAACAAATGTATCTCACTGTTCTAAATTTCAAAGTAAAATATAGGGTATATCCCAAAACTCGGTGCAAGTACTTATATGCCCATCGGGCACCACAGACAAACGGTTACAAAAACGCAAGAAAATCTTCCGTGTGTGATTGATCGCATATATATAAAAAAAATATTCGAAACAATGATGTATTGGGCCTAGGCATTAATTTCGAGGAATTTTCTGAAATATGACGTAATCTATATCGCATCGGGCAATGTTGTTGCTACCTGTATGTCAAAGTACTGTTCAAATACTATCTTTTTCAGTAAGTCTCATTTTTCTGAAGTCTGTAATGGTAGATCGACGAGTCTGAAAATCGAATTTTGTGGGAGCTGGTTTTTTCATACGGAAAAAATGTGAAAAAAAGATTAGTTTTGAATCGGGTTGGCACTGATTATGAAAAATGGACCCTTGTTGATAACCTCAAGCATAAAAAACCATATTTTGATCATGGATCCTTATCATTATAGGGGGCGCCGCAATCGCTCCCTCGGAAATGGGTGATTTGCTATATATGCGAGGGTGGGGAAGATATGGTCCATTGTGCGGAAGTAAAATCATATCGAAATGTTAGGTTTGATCGTTCCCAATAATAACTGATCGTTTCATACCAATTTCTGACAGAGGAATCGAAAAATTTGCTCATAATCTCAAAAATGCGAAGAAAACAATTTCAGTGACTTTTCACACTTCGAGACAAAAATGTCCAAGAGGCAATTGAATATGAATACCCGCTATGCTCCCGCTGTATTCTCCAGACATTGCGCCTTCTAACTATCACTTGTTTTGAACGCTTCAAAATAATCTAAAAGGAGAACGGTTCGCTTTTTCTTCTTCAAAAACTCGAAAAATGGATCGATCTTTAATAGTGTCAAAAGTACCTTTATTTTTTCGAGATGGTATCTGTAAATTGCCTGAAATATAGGCAAAGGATGTCGCTTTCGATTGACAATATTTTTAATAGTTTATACTTGCATTTTGTTATTGAAATAAATGAGTTCTTTCCAAAAAAATATCCTCGAAATTAATGCCCAGACCCAATATATTTATTTATCTTACCTTCTTCAAAATCTTCCTTCTAGTGGTTTCCTGAAGTACGTCATCATTGCCCATCCACACCAATCATTCTTGTTGGTACCAAATTAGATTTGCGAGACGACAAAACGACAATAGAAAAACTTCGCGATAAGAAACTAGCACCAATCACTTATCCACAGGTAAGCAGAATGAATGTAACAATGAAGCTATAATACATGATTGATTTTGTTTTATTCAATTTAAAGGGGTTAGCAATGGCAAAAGAAATAAATTCAGTCAAGTATTTGGAATGTTCCGCGTTAACACAAAAAGGCCTAAAGACAGTGTTTGATGAAGCTATACGAGCAGTTTTATGTCCGGTCTTACCACCCAAAAAAAGTCGTAAATGTGTGTTACTCTAAGTATGCAACTTCAGGATCAATTGGCAACATCAACGGAATGACACAGCAATAGAATATCACAATAAGAGGAATTTTTAAGAGACCGACATCAAAAGTAGTGAAAGAAATTAATGCTTATCACCCGTTCATAACAATTGAATAAAAAATAAATTGCCGAATTTTTTGATATTTTGACGAAGTTTCACTATGAAAGAGAAAAACAGATACATACACATAAAAAACATTTCAATATATTTAAGCAGTAACTTTCAAGATGTGCACTAAATGGAAGTACAATAGTAACGAGAAAATCCGTTCCTTCTTATTCAAACAATGAACTATGACTAGTGCTGACATTCGCAATTTTTTATTCTTTTTTTCTTCAAAAATTCAATGCAATCAATGCTTCGGATGGCCATAAAATTGAATATTAAATCGTTAAAATATTTTTTTTTCACAATTTAAACGTAAATCATGAATTTTATATGATTTTTCGATATAAAATAACAAAAAAAGAAATAACAAAAAAACAACTGCACAATATTTGTTATTTATAAAAGTGAAGCACAGAGCACTCCGAGTGACTTCATTATCATTTCATTATTCTAATAAAACAAGTAACAAATATTCAATTGGTTTTAATTTCTTTTTGATTCACATAATTACTGTATATAGAACATTTTCTTACTTTTGTATTGTGCGAGGCTTAGAGTCTGATTATTCCAAGCCATGTATTCGCCATATTTCTATGCTAGGATTCTATTCCAGCATAGCTAGTCGGCATGCGGTTTATATTCGTGCAGTATACGGTATTTTTGTGAGTTTATATTTGCGCGTTCATTTTCCGTACACGAACGACCGTGTACAGTAGGGTGTTTTCGGCATCGTTTAATCAAAAAATGGTAACTCTCATTCGATAGATCTCAGAATTCTGAGTCGATTGATAATATTTTTGTCGCGGATGGACTTGTGATGACACTTCCCGAAGCTGAAAACAAAAACAGTTTTATTCTGAATTTCCATAGAAACCTGTGACAACCAGATTTGATTTGAAATTTGAAAACAGAATTTTGACAAGAAAACATAAAATTGAATCTAGTTGTCACACGTTACTATAGAAATTCAGAATAAAACATTTTTTGTTTTTAGTTTCGGGAAGTGTCACCACAAGTCCATCCGCGACAAAAATGTTATCAATCGACTCAGAATTCTGAGATCTATCGAATGAGACTTAACATTTTTCGATTGAACGATGCCGAAAACACCCTAGTGTACAGCGAGACGCAAGTGTGTGTATTTGTGTGCACCGCATGCCGACAAGCCATTCTGGAATAGAATGTCTATCGTAGTATAGAAATATGGCAAATACAAGGCTTGGGTTATTCCCTTCATGAGCGCAACATTTGAAATTCACAATGTAAAAGTACAATCGCACGAAAGTGAAGAGGAAACAACGAACGTCAAACATGTTATGTTCGCTCAGCTTTTTTTTTAATTCAAAAAATGAGGAAAGGGTTTGATCAAACATACGTTTGGTGTGAATGCAGCCAAAGACACATCGTCAGAAACAACAGCAACTAACGTACAGATGTAATTTTTCGTGATAGTATTAGTTTTGTTAATGAATTTTAATAAATACTTCAGAGTGGAAATAAAGTGTATGAAATGAAAGAGAGTGATGATACATTTCATTTTCGGCTGGAATTGTCTTAATTTTTCTTTCCACCACATAATCCTGGAAAACCTTTCAACAACGCGGCATTTTCAATTATTTTCAATCGTGGAAAGATTTAATCGCGAACGATATTTCTATCGAAAATAAGACTCAATGCGAATTTTCAGCCAATTCGGCGATGGTCGGTCCAATTCTTACCTGATTTGGAATGGTCGAGATATTCTTTATTCAATATTATTTCTATCGGTGATATTGAGAGTATAGTATGTTTTTTCTTCGATTCTCTGCGTTAAAGTAGAGTATATTAGTAGTACTCGAGTTCTATTATAACTTAGCTGATGGCAGTTATCTCTTATCTCTAATTTATTATCAGTTTCGTGCAAATCTATACTACGCACTAAAGAATTTTGAATAGGAATAACTTCATATCGAACATTTTTTTCTTATAATTTTTCGTCCTTTTAGCTAAGTTATACCTCGGAAACTACAACTCTGCTGAAGAGCCTAAAGCCCTGATGTGACAAATAACAGAAACAGAAAGAGAAACAGAATTCAGTACATCTGATTGACAACAGAAACCGAATTAAATACTTTTGACTTCTTTCTGTTGTTGCCAATAGACAGAAATTGTTTCGATTCTCAATTGTGGCAATACCTAGGCTAGCTTGTTTTACTTGTTTCTGTTTCTGTTGTAAATGTACTAAATTCTGTTTCTGTTTCTGTTCTTTGCCACAACGAGGCTTAAGTTTTTATCTCTTATCAGTTCCGTGAAAAACTGCGACGCTCCGCCAAATATGAACATCCATTCCAACTCTTTATCCATTTTTAAGCCGAAAGAAACTTTTCTACTCCTCTTTCATAACAAAGTCAGTGAAACATCCACTACTTTCAATCTCACCTATAGATTTATACTGGTATTTAGTGATGGCTCAAAATAAATTGCTTAATTTTTTGATATTTCGACGAAGTTTCACTATGAAAAAGAAAAACATATACATATACATAAAAAACATTTCAATATATTTAAGCAGTACTTAACTTTCAAGATGTGCACTAAATGGAAATACAATTGGGGCACTCTACCAAATGAATTTGAAACTTTCTCTTTGATTGATTTTAGGCATTTTTGATATCTATTTATTATAAGACGTAAAAGAATGTATGTTTTCTATAGATTCGGTCTGCGTTAAAATTTAATGCGTCGACACTCGACATGCCTCGGGTTTTCGCTTGATTCAGAAATAGCTACTTGGTGTTTTCGGCAAAATTGTAGTAGTAATTCAAGATCCTCTATATTTTTGCTATCATAGAGTTTTTTTCTTATTTCTTATGAGTTACGCGTCAATCGCACACAAATAAGGTTTCCTACAGCACTTTTTTTCTTCGTTTTCTTAATTTTTTCTGCGTTTTTCGCTACAAGAACAAGAAGAGATAAAAGATAACCAATCACAGCAAACTCTTTAATTTAATTTTATTTAAATTTATTTTGCTGAGAGATGTTAGAGTCCTAGTCAAATCTGGTTTTTACCTTGAAGGTTCCTGAATACGAACAAAACAGAAAAATATCATTTTGAATGGAAATGGAACATCTCGCTATAAAATCCCATTCATTGCATACCTTTTACAGAGAACACTAACAAATATTCCTATCAGCTGGAATAAAAATATCAGATATTTTCATGCGATATTTTTTTGCATGCATCAAGCGACACACTGTGTTACATCGCTATCTAGTGTATACGTGTGTTCATGTATTTGTGCACAGTGGACTGGCCCTCGATCGAAAGTGCCCGTATACTATGACACCTTGATGCTATCCTTGCCTAGAGGGCCGATATCGTTCTTGACTCACCATCAACGCGAGCTTGCAGCAGTCGGTTTTAGGTGGACACTATACTGGCTGAATAAAGAATGTACAATTCTTCGAAACCACAGAAACACGGACCAAACTTTGGCTTTAAATAAGCATTTTATTTTGGTATATAGATAAACATTGAATTTGAATAAGTGTTTTTATTTAACGGTGACACACAATGAGCTTGTCCCCACAATGCGCTTAGACTACATTACACATAGGAAGAAAATGGTATAAGTTAACTACATGTTATGTTGAGTGATAGACACGGTGATGAAGCTAGAACAACAATTACACGTATTTCCAATGTAAACATAAAACGAGCTCTACTGACACGACGCTTGTGGTGATAGTTGGAGATTTCAATCACATAAGCGTATGCATGGCCAATAATCAAGTAGCCATTCGTGCAAACCGTATAAATCCTATGCCAGCGTGTCTGTATTGTGTGTATATATTGACCGCTCAACATGTGTTGTGTGTATGACCACTAGAGGCCGGTCGAGTGTTGTCGTCAGTATGGATTTCATAGCCGCGGTGATAGAGTTAACACAGTTTGTGTAAAAGTTACCCGAATACAAAATGTAAAAATACTCTTGTCGTTGTGGTAATTTTCAAACCAACCGTGGTAACTTTATCACCGATATATACAAATACACTGGGTAGATTCTCAGTAACCTGTGGTAATGTATGTAGTCACCCAGAACTATTGCTATCTTACTGAATTTACTTTTTGTGTGCACTACATTATATGCCAAATAATCTTAAATAGAGCTTCAAACAAAAATTGAAATGCTGAATTGCTTTACAATAAAAGTAGCTTATGATTTCGTTGGTTTTATTGCATTTTGGTATACCAATGGAATCATATGCTGTTTTATTATAGAGCATATAATTTTACAGAAGCTACGCATTTTATTGCTACCATTATTGATTATGAGTTGTAGATGACGATGGTGTCTCACTACTTAGTGTGAGTGATGTAAGCAGGGTTCGTCGCCCAGGGTGTACACCAAGTGATTCCCAGTTTATCCACGACAATCTGGCTGTCAAGTCTTTAACAAGATATTTATGTATGTTATACCAATGTTACGATGAATTGAAATAGAAACATTACCACTTGTATTCCAATGGGCACCATCAGATTTTATCTCACCACGCAAACACTTTTCGACATACGTTAAAGGATCGTAATCTGCTTCAAGAACTTCACGCAGTAATGCAATATATGCAATAGCCAAACGCAATGTATCTATTTTACTTAACCTTTTCTCATAAGGAAAGGTTGGGACGTGGACCCGCAGCTCGTCAAATGCGGAATTTATACTCCTTGAATTAAAAATAAAAAAATTTCAAATCAAATGAAAAGCTTGACTGCAAATATATTTGTCTAAAATGCATAAATGTGTAATTAACACTATGATGGTTTTGGGAAATCCAGGGCCCCAAGCAAACTTTGAAATTGAATAAATGTACTAAACAGTGTATAAACCAACCGGAGTTAAGTCTCATTGTATAGATTGAACATTTCTCTACACGAATGACATATACACATATGCATATGTGTGAATATGTGTAAAATATAGCCTTCCGCAAAACACGAGGGAAAATGGAGTAATTGCAACTTTTGGAAGGTAATTGCAAAAAGAGTGATTTGCCCCTCGGCAAAACATGTTACGCTGTTGTTTTTTGGGGACTGCAGGGCCACATGGCTATTTTTTATTATAACTGGACTATGATAAGAGAGTTGTAGACTAGTTTATGTACTACAACTTCGCCATAGACATCAAGTCGTTATCTCTTATCAGTTACCCGAAAAAATGATAAGAAAAATTCGCGTTTTTCACGGTTTTTGCGTAACTGATAAGAGATAACTACTTGATGTCTGTGGCGAAGTTGTAGTACTCAAGCTGCTCTACAACTTTGCCGAAAATCATCTTGTTATCTCTTATCAGTTTTGCGGAATACGCGAGAAACCGCAGAAAACCGCAAAAACGCGTTTTTTTTATCATTTTTCACGGAACTGATAAGAGATAACGAGATGGTGTCTGTGACAAAGTTGTAGTATTCGGCCTGCTCTACATTTCTGCCAAAGAGGCAAGTCTTTTACTTCTTATCAGCTTCACTAAAAACGAGGTGGGAAAATTTCACCATTTTCGCGGTTTTTCGCGTTTTTTCGCGTTTTTTCGCGGAACTGATAAGAGTTAAGCAATATTTGTTGCAGCAAAATTATTGCCAACCTCGAGTATTACAACTTTGCCCCAGACACTAATTTGTTATCTCTTATCACATTCCAGATTTCATATGAAGTACATATGGAGCCCTGTAGTCCCCAAAAAACAGAAATAGGTATATTGTAGAAAAAACACCGGTGAAAACCCAATTTTTGTAGCGCATTATATTATTATATTTTTTGCTTATTGGAGGTTGATCTATTCCGCTGTTATTTACCCATTTGGAGCCGAACGTACAACTCGTTTCCTTTCTCTTCCAGTTGTTAATTGCCTTTGAACTTTATAGGGTGAGTTGCAACCACCAAACGTGGATATATTTGAAGAAATGCATCCGCTATCAATATTATTGCAATTGATTATTTGAATGAGGTTAACGTCACCACTTGCACTTAAATTTACTGGCGAAGTTGCTGATGTAGACTCTAAATAATCTGAAATAATCAAATGGTTGTTTTAAATTAAAGACGGTTCTGGTTCTAGAACTCCCAAAGTTGATTAAAATAGTTGTAATTGTTGTTGAAGTTATATTGATGAGACTGAAAACGATATGAAACGCATCAATAAATATGTTTCCACATAAACGCGACATGATTCGTGGCTCGATGGAACCTAAATATAGACAGTATATTACACTTCCATTGAGCGCCGATTCTGTACATTTTTTTTCGTGCGAAATGTTTATGCCTCTTACCTTGGAAGCTGTGATGATGAGAATTCTGTCCAAACTGATCATGATGTGGAGAATTGTTCTGAATGGAACAAAACGAATTGGATGTCCGCGGTAGAAGAGAAACACTTCCTCTTGAATTTGTGCTGGTACAAATATTGACAGATCCATTCGGGATGGATATATTATCAATAGGGTTTGCACTATACATACAGTTAGGAAATTCGGGAATTACACTATCATCATAGTTGCTGCATACCAGTCCGCTAAAATATAAATAAATAAAAGGTTCATAGACACTTAGCAAAATTGTATGTATCCGAAGTACTGCAATTCTGCTCAGTTTATACAGTGAACTTTTTATAAGTACCGATAGTTCAAGCAATCGAGTAAGTTTAAAAACCACATTCAGTAGTAGGAAAACCAATAAATGACAAAAGCACTTTATTGCCCAGTCGACTTTCCTATGTATTTGTATCGTAAGATATTTTTTACAGCTATATGCTGAAAACAATAATTGGGATAATGACGCAATTGAAAGGTGGATTTTTCCGTCTCCAAACATAGTTGAACGCTCCTCGTTTCTTAATGTATACTTGTTAGCACAACTCCAATGGTACAGATAACCGCCCAAAAAAAATTCATCTCGTCAATACGAAATGAACAAAGCCAAACTTTTGGACGAATTGTTTTCTTACATCCCTACTAAGTGTATAAGATTATTGATACATTTCTGTGATTATTACGCTAAGTTATTATAAATCTAATTTAGTTGACTGTGATATTATATAGCCTTCCAATCATTTGGTGATTGATATTGTGACCTATTATTTATTTATAATGGAAACTGATTAAGTTACGCCAATATATTACAAAGCACAGTTTAAATTGTTCATATCTTTCGGTCTCGATGTGAATTGTAAATTCAAAACTACCAACAGGAACTTATTTAGATTAGACGTAAAACTTCTCCTCAATTTACCACCTTTTTGATGAATTGAACGAAAATTGTTCAACGCTTCAGTTAGTCTTTCATTTTTACATGTTCAAGTTAGGCTATATTGGACCGCTGGCATGCGGCTACCTACAAATGTTTCCATGCTTAGGATAGGTTTTACTTATTTGATCATTCAAATTTCAAATTCTCATACAACCCACTGTTTTGAACACAGTGAACACAATGAATCTAACAATATTACGATTTGAAATAAAATCCGTCTAAGTACCATTTTCACTAAGAAAAAGTACCGAATTACTATAATGAATACATTTGAACCAACGTGTTTGGTGTGAAGTCTATCTATGCTCAAAACACTATACTATGCACTTGTACAGTTCCATCTTGAGTATTGCAATGTTGTATGGCTACCAACTTATGCCATGCATATCGACAAAATCGAGAGCGTTTTGAGAAAATTTACCCAGTTCGCCTGAAGAGAGTACCGTATAGCGGCCAACGGCTACAGTATCACCGACTACAACGAGCGACTTGAGGCGTTGAACATGACATCGTTGGAGCGTCGGAGAGTGAATGCATCAATTGTATTCATGTACGACATCATGAATGGGATCGCAAATTGTCCCAGTGTACGCAACGATATCGCATGTGGAGAGAGCGTACGTAGGTTACGGCACACAGACTACCTCAAGATTAAAGGTGTCAACGAACACGAACAGTTCGAAAAAAAGTCGAATTTTGTTCGTTCGTTCGTTCGTGGGCGCTTCAA